AATACACGGTCGGTCCTTCAAAAGGGCTTTGCTCGGATCAGATAGCCCAAAACTTCAATCCCCCCCCCCCCCCAAAAAAAAAAAAAAAAAAAAACAAAAAAAAAAAAAAAAGAGAAAGAGAAAACACTTGTCGCCGCGTTTTGAATTTCCCCGCAAACTGAAGATACGGCTCCGATCGCCCGAGGTGACAGGTTTCTATGACCGCCTCGTTGCTCGCGCAAAACTCGGAAAGCTGTCAATACGAAGGGTGAAGCTGATGTGAAATGCATAATCACGTAGCCCCCAATTTGGTTACGTTGGTGGGGTCTACTACTCTAGCGTCTCACTCACGTCTCAATCAGTCGGTCAACTTAAGAAATAAAAAAAGTATGTACCAGATGATGAGAAGGTAATCCGTAAACGTTTTATTTGAGCTTTATGTCAAACAAACACCATATCCAACCCATGATACCTCACTCCGACGAGGATATATCCGCCTCAAAACACAATCCACACGCCATGAAGCACAAACACAAACACACGGGTGCAACAGCATCAGACCGACGAAGACATATCCGCTCCAAACTACAACCAACTCGCTAAATAATTAGAAGGTTCTGACTAATGACTCGCCACGAAGCACACAGACGCACACCACTCCGAAGATGGCAAGCGGGCGACGTGGGGAAGCGGGAGGACAAAGCTGGCTTTTTAATTTAGAGATTGAGGTCAGCCTATTCAGAAAAGAAGAGTCCACATCGAAAAAAAAAAATAGTTGTTCGGGTATCTTCGAGGTCCGGATGCGCGCAAAAAGAATGCTGCTATGCGAGCTCTGCCGTGTGCGGCGTGTGCGGGGCTTTCCGAGAAAATATTTTGGATTTGGATCGAAAACTAAACTGGATTTTGGATTCTAAAACAAGGTTGCCCGATGGAAGTCTGGTAAACTCTCGAAGAAATGGATAACTACCGAGCAACCGCCAAAAGCGGCTCGGTGTATGTGAACGACGCCGCTTTTCGAACGGTATTCGCAACCGCTTCGCAAAAGCGCCTCAACCGCCACTGTGAATGCGATATTACTGCTTATATTTCGTGATGGGTTGCAGTGTTGCCGGGTCATGAAAATTTTCTTTGTGGGGGAAAAAATCGCATATAAAAGTCGAAAAATTCTTTTCAAGCATGCAGATGCTGGGCCAAAAAATAGAGTTTCGACTGTGGGTGAAAACACACTGTAGTGGAAACCGCGACTAAAATATTATGTAGTGTTTGGCAGTAGCGTAGCCAGGCATTTTTTCTTGGGGGGGGGGGGGGGGGGGGGGGGTGGGGGGGGGGGGGTGTAGTCAAACGGAAGGAAAGGGGCTCAGAAATCTCTTCTCCAGGTACGTCACTGGGATGTGGTGACTGTTGACCAACGTGAAAACAAACATAAACTGTATCTCCAGAGACGCCGTAATCGCAGTCAGTTGTGCACTCTGCTGCAATTACAACAGCCTTAAATTTTACGTTACAAAACAGCGCCTACATAGTTCCAATAAGAAAGAGGAAAGGGGAAAGGGCATGGAACCGCGGAAGATCTCACACTTTGTGCCTTTCCTCTATGCCGGAGAGCTCTCACTTTAGGAGCAAAGAAAATTATTATCCCGTTTTAGTAATATTTCTTACCTATTTAATATTTTAGGTTCAATACACATTGACGAGACACACATCTTTAGCAAGCAGGAAGAGCCTTCATTACAAAAATTATAAATAAAAACACAAGCGAAAGAACATGTGCGTTTCATTGCTTCAGAGCCTCTTCCTCTCGAAGAGGGTAAAATGGATGTAGCAATGTGCTCAAGCAGACGACCAGCGTAACGATACGCCACTGTTGTAACGAGCCACCGAGTTGACCACGGCACCCGAAAGGGAGAGCGGAGCAGCTGGGGAGCGGCCCGCCGTTTCCACTCTCCGCCACTTACTCTGCTCATCGCGCCATCTAGGGGCACCCCGGAGAACTAAAGCAAATGTCCGAGAATCCTGGCCTTGCACTGCGATAGTAATCTCCGAATTTCGGAGAATTGGGGATTTACGAAAAATAAACTCCGATAAACACCGAGTTTTCGCTAAAAAATAAACTCCGAAAAAGACCCTCCGAATTTCACGAAATATTAACTCCGAAAACACGGAGCCCTATACATAGGTTATAGGCGAATTTCGAAAAAAATTTCGATGAGAAAATGGCAGGTAAACAACGGAGCACCAGATTGTAGTACATGGAGATTAATGACATCCGCTACCGCGGGAACGGGCGCGATCCCATTTTTCTCGTTAAAATTTTCCGAAAATCGTTTATATATTACTTTTTCGGTCAGATAAAACAGCAAAGCGCCGAAATTCTGCGCATATCTGGTCCCAACCGCTGGCGCAACACCCGTGCGCAGAGACTGAGCATTTGGCAATGCTTCGTTTGTTATCATTATTTCTTTTTTTTAGGCCAGAAAAAGCACGGTTATATAATAGCGGCAACAGCGCCAAAAGACGAGGACAGAAGAGGAGAAACAAGGGCTCTTTTAGAGGTCGCACTGATCATCAGTCGTACCGAAGACAGGGTGTTCGTTGCAAACACGATGACAGGAAGTGCGGACACATCTCCAGCATGTTTGAGGCACGCTTACTTCATACACTTATGTACAGTGTGCTCAACTCTTAAACATAACGCGGGAGCGGTGGCCGAAACTGATAGCAGAGCTGTCTAGCGATTAAATCAATGATGCGGCAGAGAATAAGCCGGCTCTTCTTGGGATTGTCGCCAGTCCCCGATACATTTATCGCACGACCTCCACGTTTCTTTCTTTATCACCCACGCTTTAAATGTTTACTTGTTTGTTTTGTTGTTTTTTCCAGTCTGTTTAGTCCCATCTACGCATTTCCCATGCCGGGCTACCATATCTCGGTGATCTTGCAGTTTCTCTAATAAAGTTTCTCTAATTCTTTAAACAACAACAAAAACAAACACAACGCGATTTTTTTATCGCCGAGTCACGCATCGGTGATTGTTTCGGAGCTGGGAGTGTAACTCCAGAAAACAACAGCGGCACAAGCTTCCAGAGTGAACCGGTAGATGGCGCATGCAGCCTCTCCGGCCACCGCTCCCGCGATGTGTTCGAAAAGTACACTGTACTTTTCGAACACATCTGCAGGCAGTTCTTTTTGCGTCCAATGTTACGTCATATACAAGAAAGAAGCATGCCTCAGAGAGTGTCTGTTTGACTGCCTCTTGTACGATGTATTACCGCGGCTTTTATGAATCGCTGACTCGCCCCAACCTCCATCTTAAAATCTTTTTCTTTTTTTGCAAACGTTGCGTATATTTATGAAAGGGTCAGTGACATTAGAGAGTTTTAGCAAATCGCTCCGATGACCCCGATAAAGAAAGCCGATACTCTGTTTCCGCCGCCTTTGCGTCTGCATCGTATTTTATCGGGCATCGTTATCGGGGGTACCGGAACTTTCTACTAAAACTCTCTATTCATGATAAAAGCTAAAGTTTTACTTTGTTTCACCTCATGTCCGAGCGCACACGATGTTATGAACCGAAGGTCCAATCAAACAGCGCAAAAAGCGCAACGTCATGGCGTGCTCTCTGCGCTTGATAGGACTAGCCGGCGGAGAAGCACGCATAGAGAGAAGGCGAATACCTCCTAGTTCTATCAACTGCAGAGAGCACGCCATGACATTGTGCCTCTTTCGCTGTTCGATTGGCCCTTCGGCTCATAGCAACGGCCGCGCTCGGACCGAAGCTGAAACGAAGTATAGTGTTCGTCGAGCCAGGTCGGGACGACACGGATGAGTTCCTTTTACTGTCACCCCAAACGCCGGCGGGTGTTTCAACGTTAATCGAGTTTGTCTCGACTCGAGCGGCCGCGGGAATTGCAGTCGTAACCTCGTGCCGCGTGTGCAGTTCAATGAGCAGTTGCAGCGGCTTCGTCGCTTGCCACCGCCCGCTCACGACCCGCGTACGCCCGCCGGCAATATGAAGGTGAAACCTTACCTGGTTTCTTGCCTGTTTTACGGCTCCCTAAAGCTATATTAACTCTCAACGTCTCATATGGTACGTGGCTTGGGAGTCTAAACTTTACGTTCTAGCCCTCTTCTGGAACAGAGCTTGTTCCAAAACTTGCAGAAACGTCAAAAACAAGAAGAGGGCTGTTCACCTTCATATCGCTCACGGGTGTACATCTGCTCTTAATTGGCATGTCGCGTGCGGCGCGGTCGACTCAGCTTCTCTCTACGTCGGTTTTTACTTACGCTAGGCACAGGATCACTACACTGTAGTCGATCGCTGCTGCAATGAACGAAGCCGAAATGTCTATCTAAACCAACTTCAAAGCAATACATATATACTTATGCGTGAGAACCCTCCACGGGACTTTCTTCCTCGCATTGGTCTGACCGCACGACGTCACATGTTGTCGTGGGATATCAAGTTCTGCGCTACATTTTGCGGGAAAATGGAAGTCACAGTTTCAATGCGTCGTGTCGCGTATCCCACCTCCACGATGTCACGTCACGTCACAGTTTTCCCGCACTAAATCTGGCGGGGAAATGGACGCCACCTGGACCTGAGCTTTAATGACGTGGTCACGTAACCCGACGTCGCATGATGACCTCTGTTTTGCCGCTAAGTTGAACGGGGAAGTCGTGCCGTCACATCACGCGACATCAGTTTCCCGCTAAATTTAGCGGGGAAATTGTGACGCCACATTACCCTGACATTGAGACGTCACGAAACGCCCTTACGCTACGTGGCACCATGATAATTTTGCGATAAAATTTAGCAGGGAAATTGATATCATGTGACCTGGCGTCATGTAATGTTCGGTCACGTGAGACCGTGACGTCATGTCACGTGGCGTCTATTTCTTATAACGCCTTTAGGTGCTATACTTGGTTCCACCTTCAATGCACACGCAGCCGACGCTATGCAGCTTCAGTGTATTTGACGGAATGTCCAAGCTAAGCGATTGCTTAACCTTTTTTTGTTTTTGTTTTTTGCGGTGTTAGCGAATTACCGAAGTGGAGCGTGTAGCCTGGCCCTGGTGGCTGTCTCGCTATGGCTACACAAGCAAAAACCGTCACCAGCCCAAAGGATGAGAACTCGTCTGTCCAGGTAATTGTCACCTTGCCGACGTCCCCACAAAGAACCCAACGAGAGCCAAAACGTTTTCGCTCCTTCCTTCACCGTCTCAGGTGTCTTCCGACTTCCACAAGAAGCTTGTCATCGTGGGCGACGGAGGCTGCGGCAAAACTTCCATGCTGACCGCCTTCGCGACGGGAGTGTTTCCAGAGAATCCACAGGCGACTCTCCTTGAGACGGTGATCACCAACGTGAACGTTGGAAATAAGAAGGTATGCACTGTTGCGCCACGATTCCTCTCCTGTATTCAAAGGAACAATGCACCCGAAACTATAGATGAGAGACGAGATGAACCTTTCCCCTATACGATGCGCCATGACATGTCGTCCTTGTAACGTCGATTTGATGTCCCGGAGATGGTGCTACAAGTGAGGCTATAAGGATGACCCAATACACTACACGCACTGCGGTTTAAAAGCATCAAGACCGCGGGCTGTGGAGACTCGAGGCAGCTTTAGTTCAAATTAGTGCTTCGTATTATCATTGCTGCATAATGTAGTACGTTATACGCACTCGTTAGCAGTCGCGCATGCGCCAAATCATCCGTTTGCAGCGGAAATCTAAGATGGCAAACCGGCTTCTTTTTGTCTACACTCATGTCCACAAAGCAGTTTAACAAGTAGACGCATGACTCGATCTTTTTTAAGCTTTTCGTTGCCTCTAGTTTCGAACCTCAAGCTATTCTACACCAACTTAATCTTCATAAATTAGCGCGTTTGCCCACGTGCACGTAGGGCCAACAGCTAGTTGGTCTATATACATCGCGGTTGTCGGGACCCCTCGCAGGTTCGTCTGAGCCTGTGCGACACGGCTGGTCAGGAGACCTACGACCGGCTGCGAACGCGCTGCCCACGTGCACGTAGGGCCAACAGCTAGTTGGTCTATATACATCGCGGTTGTCGGGACCCCTCGCAGGTTCGTCTGAGCCTGTGCGACACGGCTGGTCAGGAGACCTACGACCGGCTGCGAACGCGCAGCTACACAGACGCTGCCGTGGTCGTCGTGGTGTTCAGCATCGACGCGCCCGACAGTCTCGACAACGTGGAGACCCGCTGGAACCCCGAAGTACGGCATTTCTGTTTCAAGGTCCCCTGTCTGGTGGTCGGCAACAAGAAGGTGAGCCTCGATGTCATCTTAGGACTAGCGAACACGTTGAAAGCTTGAAACGTATAGCTTTGTGTTGGCGCCAGTTTTGTGATTTACTTTTGTTCTCGAAACGGGAGCCGAACCGTTCCTGCGAAAAACGCGCATCGCACGGGAAAAAGTTGATGCCGTAGTGGTATTCGCCAAACGTTTCATTAAGGAAAATTATTATCGTTGAGTATAATTTGCCCATTGTTTACTTTCCCGTGATTAAATCTTAATTACTGTAATCATTTTAAATGTGTGGTTTTAAATACAAACTTGATGCGGATCTTTGAAAACTACTAAATTCACCGTTTTACAATGATATAAGGCACGCGGCACACATTACGGCGTTCCGGAAAGAAAACAAAGCTCGATTTGGACGCGCTTTTAGGTTTGGGTTTTTTATCTTAGTGCATCTCCGCGCCAGCGATCCCGTTCCTCGTGCCCGATAACACGCGACGTGCGTGCGCCGCCACTCATCGCACGTAAATGTGCGTCTTCTCACTGGAACCGACATCCAAAGATCAAACCTCATGTGGCAGTCAGGAGGCTTTCTTTTTTATGCGGAGGAAAAGTTCGTATGCTTCTTGCCCAGAGGTTGTGATGACGTCAAAACGACAAGCTCTTATTGGATGATCGAAAAAAAAAAAAATAGTGGGCGACAAGTTCCGCCCATTGGCCGAACTCTCTCCGTACAAACGGCTGATTTCACCATCCAGCTAACCTTACCCTCGGACCTCTGTCCCCCTTCAAATAGTTATGGACGTATATACCGCTTGGTGTAGCTTTTAGGCTTTCTAATTACCGCGTGATTGCACGGCACGCAGGACCTGCGGAACTGTCCGGACACGGTGGAGGAGCTCCGTGAGAGGCGGCTCTCTCCGGTGACCTACAAGGAGGGCGCTGCGATGGCCAAGAAGATCAAGGCCAAGGCCTACATGGAGTGCTCCGCCCTGGACAAGCAGGGCGTGCAAGAGGTCTTCCAGAGGGCCGCACGGCTGGCCATTAGCGTAAGCACTTTGCAAATAAGAATTCTAAAAAATCTATGCATTTACCACGAAGATCTACAATCACCGATAGGAGATAGGGTTCCGTTTTTCCGGTATATACGAGCTATGTCTCCCCGCCCCTCCGGAAAAAAAAAAATTACACGAGGCTTTTTTTTTTTTTTTTACTTATAAATAAGCTAGTCGTCGCGGAATGCTTATTCCCCGCCCAAACCAAAACGTAGCGCTAACGGGTCGAAACAGGTGCTAAAGTTTTAGAACTGACCGTTATGTTATTCAAGCGTAACTAGTTATTTTCTAAAAACTTTCAATCGGAGAATTGCTGCCGACGGACCTCTCGAATACATGGAGCTGCAATGGCACCAGTTACCGAAAACGAGCACCAGTTTGCCGTTGGAATTTTCAGAAATTCAGTTCTAACTTTTTGATCGCGATAACGCTTAGTTCTGAAACTTTGGCATAGTATTCGGACCGCTAGTGCTAGATTTGGGCGGAAAACGAGCGTTCGGCGACGTTTAATTTTTTTTTTTTTTGCGATGAAAAACAAACAAACACCGTAAATATTTTTGGGGTACACGCTGTATATACCGTTAAACCCCTAAAATTACTCCTGAGTCGCTCAATTTAATCGATAACGATGAAGTAGAACAAAAATAAACTAATTGGGGATGTCTTTTAATAAGAATAAACCTAACCTTCGCGGGGAGAGATTTATGAACTGTATGCTTTTTTTTCAATGTCGACCCGAACGCATGTTGCACTGAGTAAGGTTGCTTCCTTCTTCGGGAAGCATACCCCTTATACTTGTTTCGTCTTCTTTTCAGTACCATGACGATCTCTAAATATTTGTTTCCCGCGCATGTTTCCCGGAGATTGCTAAACCCTACGATTCTGTCCGAACATATAAGCTCCGATAAAGGCATGTTTCTTCTTGGGGCACCAAAAATCGCCACCGAAAAACACCGAATCTGCGAGAAAAACAAAACCCCAAACCTCCCCCCCCCCCCCTTAATAAAAGAAAAATTCTAAGAACAATGAACGCCGAAAGCACGAAGTAATATAGTTATGAACCTTACACTGATCTCACGCAACACCTAAAAAACTACAACCTCAAAATTGCTAAAAAAAAAATATATATATATATATATTACGTTACATCAGTGACCATTCGGTTGGCCTTTACCTGCAGCACCTGAGTATTCGCATCACTGAATTTGATTTCCTTGGCAAGAACAAGTAGAAATGACCACCAGCACAGTACGATGACAACACGTGCAAACCATGCACGTACAAATAACTTTTTTTTTTTACTTTTCTTTGGCATAGCCAGGTAGGGGGGTAATAACAAGGCCTTTCTGTCTGACGAGACCCCCGTTCTATACAGTGCGAAGTATAGCAGCATGAACAACGCAGAAGGATTCTGAATCATTTGTCAGCAGTTTACAAAACTAGACATTTCGAAGTAGATGTATGATTACACAAGTCAGTGAAAGCCCTAAAAAAACAAAAAACAACAGAACATTTAACTTTGACTCTAACATGCTAAATTAACTATAGAGATAGCACAAGATAAAAAGAATGTATGGATATATAAAAACGATTCGATACAAATATTTGTGTCATTACACACGAACTGCAATATCACACAAAATAAGGTTTTTGTGGTTGCACTAAAGCACCGGTCCCATTGTTAATACCTCTTACAAAAGACAGTCCACATACACTGTCTGAGACGTGTCTCTTCCTAATCTTACAGTCTTGTGTGCAGACATGTTAGAAGCATACATGTGCATGAGGGAAACATGCTTCAGAGATGCTTTTTGAGCCGTGTTGTCAGATAATCATGTCATCATGTCTGCAGCAAACTCCGTGTCTTTTAAATGATGGACGAGTAATTAATCTGCTGCTTTAGAAGAAAAAAAAAAAAAAACAGCCTGGAGTGACGGTTGCGACCTTCTTTCTGTATCACTCAATTTTTGTGTAATCTCGATTTATGCCCGGTCTCTTTTCAGCCGCGGAGTCGAAACTTCTGGTCAAGCTGGTGCTGTGCGTACACGTGATCTACCAAGTCGTATATAGTCGCCATACTGTGGTACGGCCCTTAAGGGCGAAACCCCGAAACCTCGTCGTAGGGAAGCGTACACTACGTTCTTCGTGCTTACGAGTGTTTCAAAGGAGACTGCATGCAGTGCGAACGGTGAATTGAATTGTTGCTGGCGACGTACCATGGGCTGCCTTAAAAGGTGGCTCGATCTCTGTGCCACGGAGTAGCACCTGACCAACCTTGGTTTGAAGCATTGCTTGCAGTACGTTTACATAAACGTTCATCTGCAAATAGTTTTTCTTTGAGGCTTTTCGTCTGAGCAGCTTCTGAGAAATCTTAATAGCTACTTCCGGTTATAGGTTTGCAAGATGATCGATGCCACTACCGTTGGTTGACGCCTAAACTGCGGTTGCGCGCGCCCAGTGTTGATAGCGGCCTCTGTACAGTTTGTAATAAGGGCGCATCCGTAAGCATTTTTTTTACCTTTGGTTTACCATGTTCCCTACAAGCATGGAATTGTTTCCTGCAAGCGACGCTGTCCTGTAGGTTCCAGTGAGTTTATTTGAAGTATAATCCTTGTCATTGGAATTGTCTCCTTGCATGCATGGTTACCACTGAGATATGGCAATTCAGTGGCGCCGAGTATTTCCTGCCACTGCGGGCACAACTTTTTTTTTTTAACATTTGCAAGCTGACGCTGTGAATGACGCAGAATTGTGGAAATTATTAATTTTCAGAACGGGCAATTTGTTTAGACCCATGATTTCAACATTCTGATGGCATCTTAAATCTGGAAACTATAAATGACCCCCCTATCCCCCCAAAAAGGAAGCTATTAATTTGTTCACTTTTTATTCCGAGATTGTTCTTGATTACCATGTACATGACTATAATTAGACAAGCGGAAGCACATGCCTAGAGCCATTGGAACATTATAGCCTTGTTATATGCGTAGGCTGTTTTTCATTGTGCCGGTGTCAGAAACTTGTACCTTCTTTGGACTCTCAGAAATTCTTCAACTTTCAACATTAATGTGTTCCAGTAATCGTTTTGCTGAAATAACAAAGCACATATTTTGTTTGGTTGAATGTGACTATTAGTGAATAAACTATTAGTTTATTCACTGTGTGCTTCAACAAAATTTAGATATTAGATCAGTTGATGTGTTAGCACTATGGTGTGTTCAAATCTCGTGTGTGGACTTTAAGCATGCAGTTATTCCACCGTTTGGCTCTCTACTGATCTTCATATTTTAGAATACTATGTTGTGCTTTTTTTCAGCATTGCATTTTATTTTAGGTTTACCATGCACAATTGTCTGGCTTCTTCAGAGCTCATGTAGGGTTAAATTTTTTATTGTTCCTGACAAACTAAGTGTTGTTTTTGTTTTAACGCACCGCTTTACAAGCTATGGAGGACAATATTGTTCTTCAGTAAAATTGGCAGGTCTTTTTCGACCAGACTCGACTGATCTATTTTGTGCCTCTTATCTACTTCCACTGCTCTCTAAGAATTTGCGTCTTATGGTCATAACCTATTCTGTATAACGCAATGAATATTTTCTGTACTAGGTTTACTGCTGACAAGTGTCGGAGATAAAACTCGCGGTAAATTTCGCCATCCGCTCACGGTTCCGGAAGAGGCGACACCACCTAACGGAAAAATAGTGAAAGAGAGAAGCCGGGAGCTATGCATCAGCACCCAGATAACAAAGCCGCAATGCTGAATGTTCGTCCATGACATGACGCCGAAAATTCAGCACTACGGTCTTATTATCTAGGTGGCGTTGGGAATTATCGACCGTTCAAAGAGTGCAGTAAACGTTGGCGCGGCCTGACAGTCCAAGTGGGGACACAGGAAAGGGAATTACATGCACGACGTTTAGGTTGCAAATATGCCCACACCAATGCTGGTAGATAAAAAGGTGGAGCGATATGTCCGTCAATTGCCATCTAGCAATACTTCGAAAGGGGAGAAGGGGGAGGGGGGGAGAGAGGGGGAGACTGGCTTCGGCTTTGCCTATGTACGCCAACTCAGTGCGCGTGCGCGTGTCCCGATATTCGCTAAACAAAGCATATTTGCACACTGAATGAATGAATGCCTGGATTCAACGGACCCCTTTTAATCGGGTGGTGACTTGGGCAACGAAGATATGTTCATAGAGGAAAGGCAGAAATGTTAGCGTAATCGTCAGTTTATGGTTAGTCGCTCTACGATGCATAGTTTCTGGAAAGAAGACACCCGTAATGAAGTTCATGTGTAGAAACTCGCGAATAAAAACACGACAGCAACAAAATTCATGTTTTATTGACTTTGAAGTTTTTTTGGCGCCAGAGTGATGCATCGCAATGTACCCCGATGCTTTACTCTTTTACAAACATTTCGTTTTATCCTCCGATGCACGCAAGGCTGATTTGTTCGTAAGGCGCGTAAACCCGTGTCAACACTTTTTTTTTTCATGAGTCAAGTAAGTACCATGGCGGGATTGTAAAAAAAATGGTTCGTTCTCAATTATTTCAACAAGTCGCACGAACATACTATCACAAAACTGTAATGCCTACCGCCCACATAAAAACGAGCATATAGACCTACCCGAAAAGCAAGTCGTCTGCTTCTTGCGGAGTAGTTGGTGTCGTCAGAACAACGCCGAGCTCAGATTGGTTTTGATTGAAAGGATAGTGGGTAGACCTTAATGCTAGATGCTTTGAGGTCTACCCACTATTTTTTCGATCAGCCAATAAGAGCTCGGCGTTCTGACCCCATCACAAACCCTGTGCAAGGAGCAGACAAACTTGAGCTCCGCATAGATGTGGACACCACGCGCGTCGCAGCTGCCAGATAAGGTCCTCTCCTCGCCTTGGTTGCATGCGGCGCCACCAGATGGCTCCTCGATATGCGGCTAATGGAAGCCTGTCGCGAGCGCAGTTTCCCATGCTTCTCTATGGGAGACCTGCTTGTTTTTGAAGTCGTTTTCTGTATGCGCCACGCCATGTAGAACTTGACACTTACGCTGCGCATGCAGCTTACATCGCTTCGTTATTGACCCTAGTTCCGTGCCTCAACGGCGGCAAAAACAGTTATGAACGAGTTGAAGCGGAGAGAGGCCTCTGGCGCGGTGTTCAAGCCAGCGTCCGTGAAATGCCAGAGCAGTCGCTAACAGCGGAAAGCGCCCGCGCCCGGGTGCAATCGGAACGAGGCATTTTTTTTTATGGTTTTGTTTGTTTCTTTTTTCTCCCTCAGTTGCGCCGTCTGGACGAGGGAGACGCTTTCGGCCGAGGCTACTCATTATGCGCGCCAAGAGGACTTTATCTGGTCGATCGCGTCGAGGCCTTCGCCGTGCTGTGTGTCCTTACCATCTTACCCCGTGATATAGACCCATATCCCGCCTGTAAACAAGTCCGCGTTTGCCCACAACAGATGGGCATTACGGGTGCGCGGATACCACACACGCGCGGGAGGTCGAGCGTTTGCGCGTTCGCCGCACCGACAGCTGCGTCACCACAGCGCGTGCGACGTCAGCGGCCGGGCGTTGATCTATACCACCGGACCTTGCACTTATTGCTAATGTAGTGACAATAGTCACGCTGTCGGGGACTATGCGCCAAGAAAGTGAGAGAGAAAAGGAGACGAGAGGGCTCGAGGACGTCGGAACGCCGAGATCTGATTCGCATGAATAGTGGGTAGACCTCAAAGCAAGCTGCCTTGAAGTCTACCCACTATCCTTCCAGTCAGAACCAATCAGAGATCGGCGTTCTGACGTCACCACAGCCCCTGCAAAAGATCGACCAAACAGGATTTTCACGTCACGCCACCGAGGCCGGCTTTTCTGCGACACGAGCTCCTTAACGCTCTCGCGTTCGTAAGATGGTCTGGAGTCACCACGCCCTGTGTTTCTTAACTTGTCAGTGACTATGCGGAGCACAAATTCGTCTGCTTCTTTTGCGGGGGTTGTGATGTCGTCAGAACGGCCAGCTCTGATTGGTTCTAATCGATGGATAGAGGGTAGACCTCAAAGCAAGCTGCCCTGAGGTCTACCCACGATCCTTCCAATCAGAACCAATCAGAGCTGCACGTTCTGACGTCACCAGAACCCCTGCAAAAAGAAGCAGACGAACTTGTTCTCCGCATACTTTCACCTCGGACTCCTCGATGATCTCGCAGGGCCGCAACTGTTCGATATGTGTAATTCTGAATCAGTGTACATCACGCGGCACGACGTCGTCCTGAACGTAGGTCACCTAACCAATGCTGTGTCATCGTGAGACGAGTTTCGATTCGTAAGCAAGTATAATGCAGGTGGAATCACGTCATATAATAAACGGAATGTAACAACGTAAACTGGCGATCCATATGCAGCGACCTGTGCTCACACGCTATACAAATACGACGAAGTAGAAAAATAAACGATATAAAAAATAGATGGCAACGCTATAAATATTAGTGGAGATCTTGGGTTCTCCTAAGAAGGGGCCATGACGCTCTCAAAAGCGTCGGCGAAGTGACTAGATCGTCGCGGCTCCGTGAGAGATCACCAACAACATTTCCACTTGCTCCTTCTCCTCTGGTCTGTTGTCGTCTGCAGGGAAGAAGACAGAGACCGTCGTTTAAATCATCTGCGAAGAGGACTACAGTCACCGAAAGGATGAGAGCGACAGAGAGTCTCTTTCGGATGTCCGACCCTCAAGCCCGCGCTCGTGGCCTAACGCCGGGATTTGACCGCGCGTGCACGCTCAAAGATTGAGGGCGGGGCGGCCGAAAGACCTCCTTGACCTCCTTATCCTTTCGGAAATAACAGCGGTCTCAATTGTAGTACGAAGCTGGATGAACTATACTGTCAAGCAAAGTATCGAGACGCTTACTCGGACCGCAAAGCCATAGAAAAGGTATACATGCCTACGTGTATAGCTTTGCGCGTTTGTTCGCTTCCTTTCCACAGTCTCTTACATTTCGCCACCAAGTGATGACTTCGGGTATGAAACTAAACGGCGCAAATAGGACACCAACAAACTAAGGCAAACGTACGATGGGGACGGGTACCACGTCCTTGTATAGTTGTGACTTCGTCTCGTCCCTGTTTGTTCATCCCTGTCTGATAGCCAGAACTAAAGTGCTGCTTACACCTTCAGTTGTAAAATAGTTAACCAACTAGCCCAAGCCAGTCTTGAAAGATTCTTGGTTGTTGTTGTTGTTCACGTTTTGTTTTTATTGATGCCCTCACCACCTTGATCTCAGATCATTTGTGGGAGGAGATGAGCGATGGGGATGATGTCCAATGAAACTATGTTAAAATAGGTGGCCAATGCCTGCCTCCCGATTGAATTTCAGGAAAGACTGAAGCACTGCCTCTCTGTCCGCTTGTTCGCCTTCGGGATTCGTCCATTCTTGGAAGTTTGTAGGACGAAGCTGATGTGGTAGTCCGCAGAGGACACTTCAACGAATACGCTCTGTCGCTGTGCTTTTCCCCTTTCTGTTTCGTAGAAGATAGTTCTCTCAAAGCCAAACTTTTTAGTGCGACCACTTTTTGTTACAGACATCCTTATAGATCATACAGGGATTTAGTATTACTGCACATAAAAAAACTAGTCCTAGTTACACCTAACGAATACCCACATGTTTGGCCCTCTTCACGACTTGTAACTTTCTAAGAAAACTTTTTTTTTCTTTTTGCAGTCGTTTTTGCGATTGCTTTCAAAGGCTTGAAAGAGAAGCGCGGGAGCTTGTGCGCGTCCTCAGAATCTGCTCGTCATGGACCACTACGCCTCCGCGACGACCATCAAAATAAACAACATTACAGTGTTTTTTTTTTGTTTTTTTGTTTGTTTGTTTGGTTTTTTTTAAATCGCAGAAATAAATTAACGCCCGTTCACACTCTTGCGACCTGTTAAAACTGGTTTCCTTAAAACCTCTTAGAACGAGAGGACACACTGGCGCCATCTATTGGGCAGCAGTGTAAACTTGGCGGTCCGGCATATTTTGTATTTCTTTCACGCATCATCCTTTCTTTCTTGGCTCGCAAAACTTTCGTAAGGTTATAAACGAGCCTTTCTTACAGGTATTACGCACATTTGACCTCGGAAATCCCGCAAAACCTTCGCTTTTGTGAAATGCAGTTCCAGGGCCACCGCATAGATGACGCCAGCGTGCCAGTGTGTTCTCTCGTTTTAAGAAATTGTAAGAAGTTTTAAGAGATGCCGTCCCTCTCGGTCGTACTCGGTTGCAAGAGTGTGAACGGGCCTTTATGCGTTGTCGAGCGCACATTCTACACCCAAATGTATACCGCTAGAGGCCCGAACCAGATACTAAAGTTGCAGAAGAGTTATCTTATTTAGAAGTTATACGCGATTCTCGAACATTTTCAATGGGAAAACGGTGGCCGACGTCGGCCAGGGATACACGGGGCCGAAAGGCACGAGCTACCGATACGGCCCGTATCCGGTAGTTTGTGCCACGAAAAGAAATGAGGCCACCAATGGGGAAAATGGGGCCACCAATGGGGAAAAGAGGGGCCCTATTTACCCATCGAAAGTTTAAAAAAATCACCTACCGTATTTGACTATACATGTTTAAAATTTGAAAATTTACCCGATGCGAACACTCTACAGGTGCGGACTATGCAATGATTTGTTTTTTTTTCTTTTTTTTAGATCGTTCACTGTGACAAGTCTTCAAAGATTTTATGAGTAGTAAAGCTTCTTTCCGAGCTAATACAGTAGGCATTTGTCAAGCTGTGTTGTATACAAGCACGTTCAGATTGGCAAGTCGAGTGACATCATTTCCGACTGCTGACTCGCCGCCATAGTATGATTGGTGGACTGAAGCAATGTCGTGACGTCGTTCGCTCGCCGTGTCCGGTAACGTGATTCTCGTGTCCCCACAGTAAACGTAAACGCGTAAACAAAACAGATAAGATTTTTTATTTCGTTTTTACGATAAAACGGTGACAAGCGTGCAGTCTTGTACACGTTAATCGAACAAGGTAATCGATTACAAGTGCAATTGCTCTTGGTTAAAAAAGTGGGAAATTAGATTAGACTTTATTACCCGAGACAAAAACAGCAATGGTCCGTTACTTGAAAAAGTAACCGTTACTTTTTCGATTACATCAGATTTTCAAAACGACACAGTACAGTTATTTACCGGTTTGAAAACGGGTCTTTCGCACTGTACATTATTGGATTAGAATCGCCGAATTGTAAACTGGTTATCTTCGTAATCCAGCAATTTTGATAGACCATCATCCCGTCGGTATATATGTTTGCAAGAGAGGCTCCTGTGCGCTGCCATCTTGAGCGATGCTGGCGCTGCGTAGCATTTCCCCCATGCTGGGGTGCGACATGGGCACGCCATTGGGGTGCGCGATGACAAGATGGCGGCGTCTGGTGTATCGCCGACGGCCAGCGTGAGCGACAGGCTTACTGTTTCGGAACGCAGGAGGAGGTATCCACACAGTATCGCACCATCAAATATTCTAGGAGCTGACTCTTTAACGATCCCAGCCTCTGTTCCAGCACGTCATAAAAGCCGGAGCTGCAGCGAGCGCAGCCATAGTTGATGCAATTGCCATGCGGCTTCTGGCGCATTCTGATGAGCGCTTTGAGACTTCAGATATTTTTCAAATTTTTCGATCTGTTACACGTATAGGTATTTTATTTAATTGTTTCTGCTCTTTCGCGGTCGAAGACAACACCTGCTTTGTGCGTGTTTATGTATTAACATACATATATTTGTTTTAAATTTCTTTTTGCGCTCAGTTGTGTGTCCTTCAGCAAGAGACGCTTGGCAACATTGTACGACAAGCAGCGAGCGTCCTGGTTGGAGAGTAGGTCCGCCTAACGTCGGCGAGCGATTCGAGGTTAAGTCAGGATCCCACTTGCAAAGGTGTATACTTGCTTCGAGAATTCTTTGATTGGAATCTTGTACGAACAGAAGGGCGCCATTAGAAAGGGGAGGGGAAAATAGTAATGGTTGGAGGTAATTTTAGCACTTCCGAAGGTAACGAGATTACTCTTGGGATTACTTCCTAATAGATGCCATCCAATGATAACAAACATTACTCCAAAAAGTAATCGATTACCGAATAACCTGATTGGTACGAGTCTGCATTCGTGCTCCTTAAGGTGAAACGGAGGTATACGGTATTCTTGAAGAGCGGTTTCGCATCAATAATAGCAAGAGGGCCTAGAAAAACGACAGCCAAACAAGTAGGGTACACAGACAGAGTGGCCGCGGTTTCGTACTGGCCCGTGTCGACAGACACAGGTCCACGGGAGTCTCACCTTATGGCAGGTCTGCAGAACGCTCTCGAAGACCTTCCGGACGCTGTCCAGGTTCATGGCGGAGCACTCGACGTAGTGGGCGGCCCTGACGGCCTGGGCCAACTGGAAGCCCTCGGCCACGCTGATGGGTCGGCACTTGATCTGGGCCAGCTCTCGGACGATGTTGGGGTCCTCACGAAGGTCCTGCAAACGTTGGTATTAGGATGTGGTTGAGAGTCAAGGATCTCCCTTTAATTAAGTGTTTCAATAGGTCAATATGCCCTGAGAAACTGAGGGGGAGGAGGGGACAAGAGGGAATTTAAGAACGCCGAGCTCTGATCGGATAGATTAGTGGGTAGGCCTAAAGCTATCTGCCTATTGGTTTCACTGCACTCATCGAACGCGTTCGAATGCGAAAGCCAAACGCCGGACGCCGGCCTTCGGCGTTCTAAAGCGTTCGACGAGTGCAGTGGAGACAACAGCTAGCTTTAGGTCTACCCACTAATCATTCCAATCAGACCTCGGCGTTCTTAAATCCCACCTCGTCTCCTCATCTCCCTCAGTTTCTCGGGGGATACTATCCCAGTGCTTGTCGCCCAAGCGAAAAATGCCGAGTCACTGGCTGTGACCCGGCAGTAACAGCCAGTGGCTCGAGCCAGTGAATACCGAGTCACTGGCCTGTAACGCATATGCAGGGAGCCGACTTTTTCGTAGTTGAGAGCTGCTGCATGCGCATGCCCGGGACAGCGCGCAGAACACTATTAAGGGAATGGTTTGTACATTAACACACTGAAGCTGAAAACAAGTTTCACAAAAGAACGTCCGCGCTGTGAAACTGAGGCGTGACGTAAATGCGTGAAGAAGTAGTGCAGTGTCACGGCGCAGAACGTTTGCGCAAATTCCGATGTCCACTCCGCGGGGGTTACATCTCCGCAGTGCACAGGAGCGTGGCAAAGAAGCGCACTCAAGGGAGCTGAATAACCCGCCCGAAAGGCCTATGGATAAAGAATAATAAACAATTGCGTGCCTTACGAGTACTTTATTCGTTAGAGAGATCGAATAAAATAGTAGGCTTTTTGAAGGGATAATCGAACGTTTTGAAAGTTGGCACAACCGTATATTACAGCGATCGATCCGGTAGTCTAGCTGGGCCCAGTTGCACTGCTGGGGAGAAGTAGCATCCCTTCAGCGCAACGAAGGCGCCAGTTCCACACGTTTTGGTAAAACGCAGCAAGATATTCCAGGGTAAGCATTTTGGCGCAGACGGCGCAGCAGTGACAATACTGCTACGGTCAGCAAAATTCTGATGACGGTCCTCGTTTGCCATCAACTCTCAATATAATAATCGGTATACCGACCTTACACTAGTTTTCAGAAATTGTGAAAATCCTAAAATCATCGCTACAATCAATATGCTGCTCTGGCTGGTTTCCACATTTGTGTATGAATAGAAACGAATGCGTTGCAATCGCTCCTGACTGCTAGCGACAAAACTTTAGACAATAGCACAGACTGCCGCCATCGACTGGGGAAAACAGGAACACCTCCCCTTCGATGTACGTATATTTCCTCATCTTTTTTTTTTGTATCATTTCTTTAGTGTGTGTTTGAACTAATTTTGGCAATGTTATAAGCGACCATCTTTTAAAGATATATAGTGCTAAGATTGAATCTGACATACACCGAAAAACCTTCAGTCTATAGTTATACGCAATCCTATGTGTTCCAGGACCACCCGATGGACGGCGCCAGCGTGCCAGCGTGTTTTCAATTTGTAAGTATAGTCCCAAGCGATTGAAACACGGTTCCACTCAAACACAAACGTGTCGACCAGTCTAAAAAAGACACACACACACACACAAAAGATTTTTTTTCCATAAATCTGGGTATGTAAAAAAAAAAAAATTCACATTGCAAAGAAATATTTTTTTGCGGAATATTTATAGGTCTCGAAATTCATTTTGAGTATATTGCGACGTCTTCTATTTATCCCTTTCGTTTCGAGATGACGCGTGAAAATAAAGGCACGTTCTGAAATCTCTCGTCATTCAAAATGTGTCTGGCTTTGTCAATATTCCAATTTCTTTTCTTCTTTTTTCAAAGAGGGATGGGGTTAGGTCGTGCTATAGGCTATTTTCACCGACGGCATTTCGTCCCCCATTTTGTTGTTATGTGCTGTCTGGCGCGTTTATAAGGCGAGCATTCCGAAGATTCATATCACACCCTCAAATCGGTATAGTGCACAAAAGCTTACAAGTTTCATCGCGCTAGCATATAACGACAAAATGTCAGATCGAGGTCATGTCAAAGCACCCTTGTTCCCCTTCTCCAGGGTTTATTATCGCCCCACCCTAAACGTCTGCAATCCAGGCCCTTCAAAATATCTTTAGTGTCTCTAGTAGTGACTCTAAAACATGCTTCTATTTCGAATTGACGAGCTCAAATATCAGAATAGCTCCCAATTCAAAATATGTTTCGCGACGTAAATATCGCTCTATTCTTTTTTCTTCCGAGGAATGAGCATTTAATGACATACGAATCTTATCCAAGCGCTTAAGAAAAAAAAAATAAATAAACAGTTTTGAGAGTACAGTGTTTCTTTAAGCGAACTTCGCTACAAATGTAGTGAAATTCGCTTTAACTTTTTTGTATTTTCCATTGTTATTATAGCGGAGCTCTGAAGGGCTAGTTTCCACAGGATCGTCTCCCCCGCAAAGAAATGAAGACACCGAACTCTGGACACCTACCGTCATCTATGAGCGACGGCGGCAAGCCACGTATCTGGTTGTCGCCGTCGCTCATAGATGGCGGCAGCCTTCTCACTCTGGCTTGCCGACTTGAGGCCGGCCATTGCTTTCCATTGTACAGCTCCGCTGGTCTCCCTTCTTCACCAGAGCAAAAAGGCTGAAAGCTTTTTTTTTTTTTTTTTTTTTTTACCACTCCCCTCTAATGGCTCTGGCCCTGGGGGTAAAATAAATAAATACATAAATATATGTTGTAGGGTATCGGAAATGGCCGTCATACTATCTGCGTGGCGACCAGCAGCACAGGCACGAGCGGGTTGAAGTGGCGAATCTCCTTGGCCCAGCGCGAGGGCACCTCGCTGGGCGAGAAGATGTCCCGGACGGAAAAGCAGAGCAGCACCACATCGGCCTCGGCGTAGCACGACGACCGGCTCGGGTCCAACAGCAGGTCCGAGTCGCCAGTGTCCCAGATCACAAGACGCACCTGGAACAATATTGTCGTCATGCTAGTGGAAGAAGACCTAGCTGCAAACGACGCCACCGCACAAAGCAAGAAAACATTTAGCGAGCCAAGACAATCGGAAAAACAAGGACGCTCAGATCGTCTTAATGAAGAAGAAAGCATGGATTGGAAGTGAGTCTTCAAAAAGTTCAGTTTAAACGTACACCGTACAACCCGAAAGATCGTCTGCCTGCGAGGTCCCAGTGAAGGGGAGAGAGAGAAAACGCAATCGCGCCCTATGGCTAAATGCAGAGCTTCGTGCGCCATAGATCAGGGGGTGAGGCTCTCGGCTTCTTGATAAACGTACAAGCTTGGCAAGATCCGAAGGAAAGAGATAGAGAATTAGAGACATTTTGCGTTTTTGCAGCCGTGTGTCACCATGAGCTGGCGAGGCAGAAACTTCCGTCGATGTTCGGTATTCTGATCAACGTACTGCTATGAAGCCCTATTCCCAACAATGCAGGCAGTAAAATGAAAACAGCGTGCAGCTTCTCAGCACTGTTGCGACGCCATTCGAGCCGAGCTTCACGTTGCTTTTTTTTTCACGAATAGGCATGCACAACAAAGAAGCAAATTAAAATTGCTTTACGAATGGAGTTCACTGTGCCCACCAACTTTAACAAAGTAAATAGATAAAAAAAAAACTTCCACGCCTTTTTTTTTTTTTTTTTTTGCAGATTTTAAATTAAGATGGTCCTTTTCCGTTGCTCTTCGGACGTATATGCCGGTCTGGTCAACCAGACTTGTACGCTCCTTCCAACAGCTGATCTTCCTTCTGCGCTTGCAAGTGCCGTCTAGAAGACGGACACTCCCGTAATGACAACTTAAAACTAGACGTAATATCTTCATTTAAATATGTGAACAACCATATGTTTAAGAGCGTACCTTGCGTACACGTTATCTACGGCACGTTCAGGTGTTTTAGTGCTTATCGGCTCTCACGACGACTCTCCTCAAACCGAGAGTCACTTTTTGTACCCACGATTGGAGTGACTCTGTCTACTTCTTTATTCGTCTCTGGGTTAGGAGGCGAGTATTACATCAACCGCCTGTTCACCGAGAGGACGCCGACTTTCAAGTCTGCTTGCGAGATCGTCCAAGGCTTGGAGCTCGCAAGACAGGACACTTGTCAAGCTCACTCGGCACGTAGTTCCTCACAACGGAGAGATTAAGACAGTTCAGATCCGCCAGAAACTCGTTAATTAAAACAAAAGAGTTACGCACAGACGAGCAACTGGCGGACACGCCAGCTGACGGAGTGCACGCAGTACCTCTGTTCGATGATGCTGGATGTGCCCCGTGTAGACCTCCTGCACGGTTGGCGACGGCACGGTGTCCCGAACGTCGTTCCTCAGGAAGGTCCGGATGAGCGTGGTCTTGCCGCAGGCGCAGCTCCCGACCACCACCACTTTGAGCGTAAGCATCGCTGCAGCAAAACAAAAAGTGTCCCGATATAGACTACGTTTCGACCACGTTGGCTATAGGACTATCAATGTTTTCAAGGGGCCAGCATCGCTGCAGTTAAGGATGGCACTACGTTGACTGCGGCTATCAATGTTCTCCTGAGGTAAATATCAATGCAGCGAAAGATGTCACTATGTTGACTACGTTCCCAGTGCGTTGACTACTAGTCTACTTGTATGAGCTCAGGATAACTGAAGTGCGGTTAGAGCGGACACCACAGGCGGCCGGAAACGATCGGGCCATCACCGGCAACTCCGTATCTCCCGCGTTCCCCGACTTTACTGGTCTTCGACGGGTAGGCAGACGCTTGGAAAGATAGAGCAGGCGGAAATATTTAGTCACGCTTCGGCTCGTAAGCCCAGGAGCATTTGATAATCTACAATGTCGTTCGGCGCTTCTGACGTTTCAGCAAGCCCTGAAACTAAAAGAACTGCGATTTCGTCAAATATCTTTTTTTGTTTGTTTGTTTGTTTGTTTGTTTGTGTGTGTGTGTGTGTGTGTGTGTGTGTGTGTGTGTGCGTGTGCGTGTGCGTGTGCGTGTGCGTGTGCGTGTGCGTGTGCGTGTGTGTGTGTGTGTGTGTGTGTGTTACAATTAGCGGATTCATTCTTAATTCGCTGGTTTTATATTTCGAAATAAAAAAAAAAAACTAAAATTTGGTGATCTAGTTTTTTCTTATTCTTTCGTTGCAACCAGCGAATGAATTCTTGACTCGTTGATTGTTTTATTTACATACTTTATCTATTTACATTGTACCTGCATTACTTCGTGGGCTTTACTGGGAGGTTATTCTATGTATTCAGACAAGCGGAGGAAACAATGTTTCTTATCAATGTACACAATCTTTTCCGGAAGGTTGTTTTACTCTCTGGACGTCTTGGCAAACAATGGGTTTGCAGAAGAATCTGATCCCATAACGATATACATCCGCCCTTTGGAATTATCGCAACGAAAAGACAAGATATCCAGAGAATCGTACGAGTCATTCAACATCAAAATTCAAGGTGATGACAGAAGCATAAGACTGTTCATTTAACAAATGAAGAATTTGAATTCCTGCTTGAAAAGTCCGAAAGAGCGAATAAATAGTTTGCGTTGCTTAAATAAACAGTCAGTTGAAAACAGCGCCTTGTGTCGTGTTTTTGACTTTCTGTCCCTGTCTTGCGGCGCTTATTGTCAAAAGGAACTATGCACCAAATAGCCCATTTGTCACTATTAATAATTTACTTAGAATTTATGCCTGTTCTTTCTATGCCTTTAGGTGTTCCGAATTCACAACGTTTTTACGCATGTACCGAGAAGCATCAATAATGGTATGCCTCAATTTATATAAATAAAAAAGGCAGTCCGAAGAGGATGTGCAATCTTGTTTTCTAAGGCAAATTTATTTTAAGCTCCTTGTTTTTGGTCTCATTCGTGTTTTTGTTTATGCGGCAAACATAATAATTACCCTATTTTATATTTAGGCCTGTTAGATAATCATAATCGGCAGTAATTAAAAACTAGGAGCACGGGACGTTATAGCGTCTTATGACAACAAGTACATCAACTCTCAAAATGAGTAAATATAGATATGAACTATTTATGTCAAAAACAAATAGTAGGCAACGTTTTTTTTTTTTTGTGCTTTTTTTAATAAAGCGCTTTTCAATAGTTTTTTCAAATGTTTGCATACATGTTTCTTCAAAATTGGTGAGATGGTATATTGTATCTATAGAAGTGGGGCTGCCAATACTCGAGCAGTCTATATAAAACAGCGACAAGAAAACTGAAAAAAACCCAAAACACAGTGTTTTGATGAAAGACAACAAATGGGAGATGCAGTGATAGACAAATCGAATGCGGTTACCAAGACATAAACCAAATATTAGCGTCATCATCGCTCTGTAGCACCGCGTGTCATACAAAAACCTTATTCTGGGAATGAGGCGAGAAATTGCTAACTGTTTGCTCGGCAAGTGCACCGTGTTAGTAAGAGCTACAGGGAACTAAAAACGCCAGCTTTTACCCAAGCCACTTTTTCCCGTAAAGTTTTAAGTTTCAACGCGTCTGAAACTGGAGAGTTTGACGCTATAACTACTCCAGATTAGTCACTGGCAAATGCAAGCATATGCGTGTGTGGCTGTACCCCACACGTGCGGGGATCCAGTCACACATACCTCTTTCATACTTAAAGGGAAACACAGTGCAAGAGTTTCGCCGTTCGCGTTTCACGGGCGAATGTGCAATGATCCAGGTAGACGGTTTCTGGGAGAAGCAAAGCATATCTTTTTTTCTTGGAAACTAACATTCTCAAAGAGCTGCTCGACAATTTATTTCATTGCACGATCGAGGACGCGCCTTACACAGAAACACAAGGACAGCTTTCACGCACGTGCAAGCTATGCCAAAAAAAAAAAAAAAGGAACTGATTTTTTAATTGCGAAATTAAACCACGCATTGCCGAATGGTCAGTTTCGGTCCAAATGTAGCTCTAGCGGTCCAGAACTAGGTTGCAAAAGTTGCAGAACTAACTAATATTATTCAAAGCTAATCGAACGTTTTTGGAAAGTTTTGAATGGTAAAATGGTGTTTTACGACGCCCACGAATACATGTGGAAGAATGGCACAAAACTATAGAGAACAGGCCCTATTCTGCCTTTCAAAGTTTCATAAAATCACTCAACATTTAAATATTTTTTAAGCTACAAAAAAAAAAACTGTACATTTAATTTGGGACAGGCTGTATATACATCGAGGCGGTGCCAGACTTCAAATGAGTGCAGCATCCGTACACCAGCAATCTGCACAAAGGAGTGACCAGGGGGCCCCACGACACGCAAAGGGTTTAAATGGCCTTGCAAAAACGAAGGAGGCGCTCACTGCAGCTCAGACTTGGACGTAGTTCAACTACTCTACTCAAACTAGTTTAACTACTTTTCCGAGTAACTTGGTAACTTTCAATTACAACTTGATTTGGGTAATTAGTAGTCTTATTTAACTACGTTTTTCAGGTAACTTCTCAAATTACTAACTACTTTCGAAATCTAGTGCTAATTTTGCTCATCACGACGTGGGACTGTCACGTGACTTTCCGGAGAGGCGTGTCACGTTCACATCGCTGGATCGGCTGGGATGGCCCGTAGCGTGTCCGCTGTGAAGGAATCATAACGTGCAACAGAACATAGAGTGGACATGTCTTCAAATTACTCGACAGCTATCCTCTCACGAAACATGCCTACAAGTAATGTAAATTAAAAAAAAAATACGTTACTCACATTAATAATGGCTTTGGAGAAAGGCTTCGAAATGTATACCGTACTCGGAACCCGAATGCATCGGCTGGACATCGAGTTTCTGTTTCCCGGAACAGGGAGACGATTACACGATGAAACTTGACAGGAAGTAAGCTCGTACTACGTGGCGAGTTCAAGGAGCTCAGAGTTTCGAGCATTCGAACCGTTCTGACCTTAAATCAATCGAAAACAAAATGACATCTGCACGGTGATATGTGAGCATTCGTTTGGAGGGAAACCGCTTTTGAACGATCGAGTAATCGTCACAACAAGATAAACCGAAGTGCCCACTGAGCCCGACATGCGTAGAATGTGTTAGGAAGACTATATATCTGGAGGAGTACATACTGCAATGCCAAAGTACCGCGATAGCAGCGAACGCGTGATGTAATTCGGCTGATAGGAGCCGTCAAAAAGTGCGGCGCTCGTCATTTACGGAATCTTCGATGGAGGTACAAAAAGTACACACGGGGGGCAGACGAGAGACCCGATAAAACCTGCGCAGCAGACGGAATAGATGACGACTATTGTTGGGGTCGAGTCGATGCGGCTTTGGGAACTACTGAAGCGAAAGGCTCTAGAAGATAACACTCTCAAGACACGTTCACGCCGCTAATACATGCCACACACACACATAAAAAAAAACAGTCTACAGATACAGAAGGATTGCAGTAAAGGATTGGGAAGCCAATCGTTTGGTGTCCCGCCTTTACGCTCGAATGTTTAAAAAAAAAAAAAAAAAAAGCTTTGAACGCAGGACACATTAACGTGAAGTATACATGGTCCATACCATGACAATGCATAAGCATTAAAAAATATAGAAGGCATGCCTTAGTCGTCAATAATCATACTCACAATGGAGCATAAATAATTATATTAAGCGAGATATATGCCAAGCGGCGCAGCAGGAATCAGATACCGACCGTGCAATCCGCAGCCCGACGTCCTTGCTCGGAACCACGAGGAGAAGATAAAAGGGGGAGGAAACGGCCGAACAATCTAGGTACGAGTCACGGGAGCCTGCGGCAGCAGGCGACTGTCGGCTGGCGCAGCCAACTCCCGAATGACAAACAAAGCGTCGCTCCCTACGTGATTTCACGGCGTTACTTGGGGCATCATAACGCACCAACGGATAGCGCAGCGGGCGTACGGCGTCTCGCGACTTCGCACAGCAGGCAACGAAATAGATAGTGGATAACACCCCCCCCCCCCCCCCCCCCCCTCGCACGAAAGCAGCATATATCTGATGAAGTTGCCCACAGCGTTAAGCTGGTTGTACTTCGTTTCAGCTTAAATCCCGACGCGGCCGACGTTACGAGCTGATGAATTAAACCAATCAGACCGCGTCAAAATCGCACCATCACGTCGTGTGGTTCTATAATCGCTGAACCATTCATAAACAAAAAAGCTAGGTTCCCTCACTTACCACTTATTCACACTGGAAGCGGATCCGCGTTCGCAAAGTGGTTGCGAAGTGCGCGTGCAATTGTACGGGATCTTTATACAACCGCGTTCGCAACCGCTTTGCGAACGCGGATCCGCTTCCAGTGTGAATGAGCGGTTAAAGGGGCGATGCAACGATATTCAATTGAAATGTTTTTCACTTTACACGAGCTTACTGGCACTAGTGGGACTCAAGAATACTCGCGCGCAACGTTACTGGCCAAGAAACTTCTTTGTTGCGCTGTAATTTCAAGGACCAAAGCGATCCTTTTCATTCAATCTCTCCTTTGAAAAATTTGATGAGGTAACGTGGGGATCGCAATACAGCCCAATGACGATATTTGAATGCGGTTCATAGACTGGATCCGAGCATTGCGTGGGCACTCGATTTGGACTCGTGATAATTACTAGCTCGAGAAGAATTCGGGTAGTGGCCCGTGTCCAATCGTTACAACGACGACAATAGCCGAACCATAACAATGTCTGTAACTCAGCGCGTGTCATATATGCTTTGCCAACCCCAGCTATGGTCAACATTGGCGGCATTGGCGACAGCGTGGCTATGGTCAACATGAGCGACATATATAATCGGCTGCAGATCACGTGGCCGCTCGTTCTGGCTGCGAGTTGAGGGGGCGAACGTTGCTCGTTTTTCTTAAATTTTTTTCCGGGACTTCTATTGCGTGGGGTTAAAAACGAACGCGTGTTTCATAGGTCATTAACGTCAGGGATCCGTTCTTAACGGTATTTGCACAAAGTACAAAAAGTGTTGCGTCGCCCCTTTAAAGTCCCTTGATGTTTCTTTTTTCAAGTAACGACAATTAATACAAGTGACGAAGCACATTCCATAAGAACAAAATGGCGTCATTCGGTTCACTCTTCTGCTTTGCGCCGTCATTCGCTTCCTAATATCTGTACCGTCAAGGCCTGTTCACACATACAGCGGAGCGCTAAGTTAGCGCTACGTTCACACATACAGCGCGTGACTTCGTTCTAATATTGCGCGTGGTTAGCGCTTTAGTAGCGCCTTGTTAGCTCTCCAGTAGCGCCTTGTTAGCGCTCCAGTAGCGCCGTGTTAACGCGTCATTAGCGCTCCTTGTACCGCGGTGCTGCGGATTAGCAGGTGCACTGCGGTTTCGGTTCCTGCGGTTGGGTGTGCATCAGCAGCACTATATATGGCGGACATGTGGGATGCTGAAATAGAAATGCGACAAATGCTCTTACATACGCGATTAGTGCATATCTGTGTGGACGGCTTAACTCCCAGAAGAGCCTTCTGAGTGCGCGAAATCTTTCGCCACCGAGATACCGACGGGTACCCGGTGAACCTTGTTCCTACCTGAGGGACCGAGACACAGAGCTCTTCGAAGGCGCTCATTTTTACCTGCGTGTCCTTGAAACCAGCGTCACACATATCGAATTGAAAGCTATGAGGTCGTACTCAATCAATTAGTCGCTCAGAGTCTATGACTCTGGGTCGCCTGCCCGACCCTTTGCTTGGAGAGCGGCTTTTTTAATTCCTCTTCTTTCAATGCCATGGAGGAAAAACAACAACCAAAGAATCGCCGTGCACGCGCTATTCCGCAGCAGCAAGCACGGCACAAGGAGCGTGAGAGCGCTAACAGAGCGCTTTTGTAGCGCTAACAGAGCGCTAACAAAGCGCTTCTGAAGCGCTAACAGAGCGCTACATCACGCGCCAGGAAGCGCCACATGAGCGCTCCTTTGAGCGCTCACGTAGCGCTAACTTAGCACTCCGCTGTATGTGTGAACCAGCCTTCACTCAGTCGGCGCTTCAAAGAATGTCGCTACTTGTAGCAAACTAATAGGGAGTTTTAGTAGATCGTTTTCAAAGGCCCGCTACCGCTACGTGCGCGCGCTTCACAGCATGCATCGAAGCGGCAGCGCGAGCTCCCGCTACGATTAGCGTGGCTTGAAAACACGATCTACTAAAACACTCTATTACCTAGGAAATTTACCATGACTCGCCCTTGCGGCGTTCCTTGTTTGGTCGCATTAGCTCGTATAGCGTCGGCTACGTCTGGACTTAAGCTGAAGCGAAGAATAAATCCCTGCAGCTTATACAAGGCGAAGCGTCGCACGATTTGACGTCCACAACGTCTGTATTCGAGCTAGAGGTAGCTCGACGCTCTACCGCGCCACACAGAGTGAACTTGCCGGCATTATCTATAGAAAAAAAAGTTTACTGGTATACTCCGCTTTACCTCACGATAAACCGCGGAGGACGCTACAAGCCATTCGGGCCAATATAATGCAAGTCACATGACCTTATGTCCATATGTCCACCAACGCGCGGTGGACATGCGGATGTCATATATACGTTCACAGCGCTGGATTGCATGGAATTGCTGGTATACCGTCCGCCGTGATAGGCAGAACAAAAATCAACGAATTTGAATGCGTCTTCGCATTGTGTTAAAAATTTGTTAAGATTGGTCACTCCGCCAGAATGTCCCAAAACTTAACACCGGGCAACACGAGCGTTCATCAGCGTACGCAGGCACACACACACGCATGCAAAAAGTACATATACACACTTTCGTATGCATAGGAACACTCGCACCAAAGCCACTAAATGAGGTGCGCTTAGGGTATCGGCACTCCGTACCCCGACATTGTTGTAGGTGACGCCATTTTGGTGCTTGTGCAAAGGAGACGCAACTGCCGATCGTCATGATTCAAAAGTGCGTCTTCCTCAGCATTAGATTCGGTGTTAGGAAGTTAATGTAATATTGCTTTGCTTCGTCACGAACGGTTTAAACATTTGCGGAGGTCGGAAAAGAAAAGCGTTTCCTGTGATTTCAGATAAACGTTCAGATAACTGGCAACCATAATTTTAACCCTCAAGATGGGTAAGTGTCCTTACTCTGAAGCGTAGCTAATCTAGTGGCACTAACTCGCACATACCCAGTCGATCGCGCGATAACACAATCGCAGACTCGGGCTACGCGATTACGGAATATACATGCCCAAGCTCGCATGCGCACATACTCGTGCAAACAAATTAAAAAAAAAAAAAAAAAACTATATTTGCCCGTTCAATAACCCTTTTTAAAATGCAGTGGCCCATCTAGTGCCTCATAAAACAGTTTCACCTTCGACAAACTAGTGACTGCCATCATAATGTATTCCATAGGGCAAACTGTCACTTCGGCACGTCGATGGCAGATGAAAATTGACTCTTCGATCACCTCAAAACTTTTTCTGCTCGAGATGTTTCCGTTTCAAAGGAGTGAACGTAAGAACTGCACCAGTGCAAAGCGGCAACCCATAAGCCCCTCGGAACCAAACTTGTGCTAAAGATCGGATAGACCACGCTCCAAGAAACAGGCGCTTACGCAGATGTTGTATGTAATTCTCGCGTTGTGTTGTAATGACGTCTCGAACGAAAAGGACTCATGTATGAACCGCTGATTTGGATTTTCAACTTCTTCGGCTGCGTATTTTCGGCACCGATTTTGACGTCCAGGTGCCGTGGTCATTGACGTCACGGACGTCAAAATAATGATTACTGTTATTTTTACGTAAACAAATCGATTTATTTTGATTGCCGCCAACTGCATTTTGGAATGTCGGTCGCTCGGGGTGTGTGTGGTCGGGTGCTTGGCGGTGTCCGCGCTGGTGTGTGTTGTCGACGTGCCGCCTGTGCCGTCGCGTTCTCAGGAACATCGAGGTAGGTGCTTTCCACTTTCAAATTTCGCCCGGTGCCGTTCGTCACTCATGTTGCAAATGGAGATTACGTGTACAGGAGGCGACAGAGGCCAGCCTCAGTAATTTTGTGCGCATTTTTCTGGAGCTGTACGACGGATTATCGCCCTTGCATAGAATAGCTGCGAAGGCCGTGCAAGCGGCGAGCGAGTA